ATGTCCTGCTGTCCTCATACGTCATGCTGTCCCCATGCATGTCCTGTACCAGTCTAACACACCACACCTCCTCCCTCAGCACCCTGTCAGATGTTTTTTCTAAATCCACAAAGACACAAAGGAGTTCTTTCTGACCCTCTCTGTTCTTCTCCATCATCATCCTCAAAGCAAAGATGGACCTGTGGAGCTCTTTCTCTTCATGAAACCATCCTGCTGCTCACAGAGAGTCACCTCTCGTCTAAGTCTAGTTTCCACAGCTCTCTCCCAGATCTTCGTGTGCCTCAAGTCATTTCCGCTGTAGCTGCTACAACTCTGTACATCACCTTGTTCTTAAAAATGGCCACCAGCACTTCTTCTCCATTCCTCAGGTATTTTCTCACCCTCAAATATGCCATTGAATGTTTGAGTCAAAAACCTCACTGCCATCTCTCCAAGACATTTCCAGACCTCCAATGGAATGTCATCAGGTGTCAGAGGTGTAGCTTCTATTTTTCAATCGGGACTATTAATTAATACTAAACCAATTAGTTATAATACTTTTTGAGTCACTGTTTCTCAGTCTGTCCCATCCTAAATGGAATGGCCACTCTCACTAGTTGTTATAGATCATCCACCAGGCACTTACTGAGTTTTTGTCTGAATTCTCACAATTCTTAACTGACTTACTACTAAATACTGATAAAGTCATAATAATGGGTGATTTCAATATTCAGATATTTAGATGAATGTGATAGTTCAAGCATAGCCTTTAAAAATTTAATAGTCAGCTGGTTTTACCCAAAACATCAGAACATCTACTCATTCTCATCACACTCTAGATCTGGTTCTGACTTATGGCATCAAGATTAATAACTTTGTAATACATCTTCAAAGTCCTGTTCTCTCTGACCATTTTTAATCATCTTTTAGTTTACATTAAATGACTACACAGTTACCGAGAGAGTAAATTTCATCTTAGCAGGTGCTCATCAGAAAACGTAGGTCTATAATTGACTAGGATTCCTGAGTCAAGGTTATGTTTAAGTAAAGGTTTAATTACAGCAACCTCAAAGCTCTGTCATGTGTAACCGTTTGAGACAAATTAGCAGATCCAAGACGTGGTTATTAATTAAAGGGAAATACGTCTTTAAACAGGCTGGTGGGGATGGGATCTAGCAGGCATGTGGATGGGATCTAGCAGGCATGTGGATGGTTTGGATGAGGTTATCATTTTTGACAATTCAGAGCTCAACAGGACAAAAACTGTCCAAACATAAATCAGGCTCTAGTGACATTTCTAAAGTTGTGTCATTTGACACAGAACCAGAGGTGATAGTAGGAATGTTGGTTTGACTGTTTTCCCAAATTGAAATAAATTTATAATCTCATGAAGTCATCACTGCTTATAGTTTTAGGGATACATGAATCAACAGAGACAAGATTTTTCATTAGACTAGCTATGGTGCTGAAAAGGAACCTGGGGTCATTTTTATTCTCATCACTTAAAGACGAATAATATAAAGTTCTAGCTTTACGGAGAGCTTTTCTGTATGTTAGCTGGATATCTCTCCAGGATAAGTAAGATTCATCAACGATAGTGAAGCGCCATTTTCTTTCTAGCTTTCTAGATATTAGTTTTAAAGTTCGTAACTCAGAATTGAACCAAGGAACTAATCTCCTCTGATTGATTACTTTCTTTTTCAGCAGAGCAGCATTATTGAGTGAAGTTTGCAAAGTAGTTGTAAAATTATCAACTAGATGATCCAAGTCCCTGCTCTGATGTGTTACTCTGTAAGACAGAGGAATACGATGGAAGAGAATCGTTAAATTTGGTTACATCGTTTTCTGATAAACGCCTGCCAAGATGACATTTACTCAGTGACTGTCGTCATTTACCAAGTACCTTCCTACCGCTCTCATAGCGGTTGCTGTAGTAGTCCAGTCATTTGAAGCTCTTACCATCCAGAGCCTTCAACAGCTCCTCTCTGAACTTCATTTGGTTAAATACTTGTGTTGGGGCTCACCATGTACCCGGGTGTGGGACTAGAACCAGACATGCACTGGTCTGTGCTCTCCGAGGCTGGTTTGAAGTTCAAGGTAGTTCCTGGACATGCAGACAGAATAAAGTCTGACCAGTCCGTGAATTAATTTATACTTTATTTGCATCTTTATTTATCACAACGTTCAGCTTCTATTTCAATAATAAAGCAGCACAAAAAGTAAAAAAGAAACCCACGACAACACAGTGGGCCTCAGATCAGGAGCTCTGGTGTCCAGAACCTACGAGGAGCCGCCTGATCCGGACAGCAATGGACGAAGTTGAAGGTGGACCAAAAATCAGAACCAGAACTGGAGTGAAACAGGATTCAGGACAACCTGGTGAACTTCTCGGTGCAGGACTCAAACCAGACTGTGACAGGTGCCTCATCCAACAGGAAATTAAAAAGGGAGAACGTCCCGAGCGTCCAGCTGTCCCACCCTCGTCCTCCTGCAGGACATCCTGCAGGAGGACGAGGCTCAGATCAGGGACCCGTATTGTCCATGCAGTTGGTGATCGTACAAAGAACCAGAGCATCAAAAGCCACAAACAGGATCAGATTCCTAAGTCATGCAGAGTTCCTCCAACAACAAGAAGAACCGGGTTCAGGCCATCAGTACGGGTTCCAGAAAAGCTGGTCTGCAAACACCGGGACCTGCTGGTCATCAGAACAGAGATCTGAGAACACAAAGAACAACCTCGGGTCAGGTGGAGGCAAAACTGGACATTTCAGCTGGAGGAGTTGAGGTTTGTGATCTGAGGTGGACCTCCAGGAGGACCAGAACAGGTTCTGCTGACAACATTTAATGCTTCTGGTTCTGGTGTAGATTGACCTTCCATCATGAACTGCTCACTACAGAAGAGACAACTTTATACTGTTTAGGTTTGCTTTGATGCCACCAGGTGACCGAAACCTGCTCCTGCAGGGTCAGGTAAATGGACTGTACTTGTACAGCTCCTTTCTATCTTATTTCAAGATACTCAGAGCTCTTTACAACAATCTGTGCCTCATTTACCCGTTCATACAGCTCTATACTAGATCTCTACAAAGATAATTGAACAAATCATTCTAAAGAGACTAATCAGAGCTTTAGATCACATTCATGCACTGATGGGACACACAGAGGCTATGAGGGGTTCAGTGTGTTGCCCTGAGACACTTCAGCATGTGACTGCTGGTGGATTCGAACCCCCAACTCTCGCATTGAAGGACGACTGCTCTAACCACTGAGCCACAGCCGCCCCAGGTCACAGATGAAGCCCCAGGTCCACCCGAGACGGTCCGCCTGCGGCCCTGTCCACCCGTGGATGTCCACCTGCACACCCTTGGACGTCAGTGGAGATGAAGTCCACTAGAACTGGGACAATCCCCCATAGACGTCCTCAGTGTTGAACCCAGTCCTGACTGGACCTGCAGCTGGGACTTCAGAACCATCGTTCAGATTAAACAGAGTTCTGGGCGAGTGGTGGAGCAGAGGTTAGAGAAGGTGGGCCTGTGATCGGAAGATTGCTGGTTCAACTCCCCATACCGACATCAAAATGTGAGTGGGATAGGTGAAGCACCCACACCTGCCCCCACCCTCATTTGCCCCACCCTGGGCCCTTGAGCAAGGCCCTCAACCCCCACCATCTGCCCCCAGGCACCCTGATAGCAGCTCTCTGCTCCAGAGGCTGTGGTAGCTCAGCGTCTGGCTGGTCAGGAAGGACCACCAGTCAATCACCAGGTCTTGGTTCTCTGCAGAGACCCCTGGAGAAGAAGAACAATTCTGAGTTTAAATGGGTCACAGGACCTGGACCTTCCACGACTGAGCTGCTGGTTCCAGAACTTGAGTTCTCCCCCCCCCCTGTCCTGTCCGTCATTGTGACACTTTATTGTGTCAAAGTGATGCCCAACAGATTTACTTTCACAAGCAGAGCATGATGGCTGGCCTTAACGCTCCACCTGATATACAAATTAAACTTTATTAGGATTTGCTTTGGGTTTGTTCCAGATGTAATGGACACGGGGACGGAAAACAAAGATGAAGCAGAAAAATGAGTTAAAATGTAAAGGAGATAGGAATAGAGTTCTCTCTAAACCTGATGCATTTGTCAAACTCGTTATTCCTTCAACTTCTCCCGTCTGTCCCCTGTCCCCGTCTGTGTCTCTGCTGCAGGACGGTCAGAGGTCATTGACGTCCATCATTTGATCTCAGATACAAACAGGAAGTGAAGGCTCTTTCTGACTCGTCTCCATCAGAACTTGTGGAACCATCAGAACCTTCTGCTCATGGACCAACTGTTTCTGACTTCACGCAGTTGGTGAATCCCTTCTGCCCTGTGACCTCACCTGGGGCGGGGTCTGTCTCCATCAGGGAGCGCAGCCAGTCATCCATGTTGGTGTCGGGGGCCAGCTGACCTCTGTGGGACAAACTCAGGCCGGGAGGAGAGCGACGAGGCCGGTGGCTCGAGTCCCACTGCTGGAAGAAGGGACAAACAGGAAGTCAGGAGGAGGGGACAGCTGAGGGGGACAAACAGGAAGTCTGGAGGAGGGGACAGCTGAGGGGGACAAACAGGAAGTCAGGAGGAGGGGACAGCTGACCCGTTTAACAACATTTAATCTGAATCGGTCTGAAGACAGAACTCTGAGCTGCAGGACTAAACATTTAGGACCGTTTGGTCCTGAATCCAGTCTTGGCTTATAAAAACCAGACTCTGGTTCTCAGCCCCAGTGGTTCTGTTCCGTCTCAGAACCAGTAGGAAGTTTAAACTGTAATTCAATACATTTTATCCTTTCAAGATAACTTTATGAATCTACAGAACCTCTGAAACGGGTCGATGGTGAAACCAGGACTTGAGACGACTATGACCCAATTGTCGTCTACGGATCAGAACCACCTGAACAGAGTCAGTTTGGTGTGCTAGTCTGAGCTCAGGTTCCATCACTCAAGAGGATCTGGGTCAGAGCTGCTGGACAGAACCCAGACTCAGGTCAGAAGTCCAGAACCAGATTTTAATTGGTCTCTGTGGAAGACGGAACCTCTGACCCAGAGAGCTGAATGTTCAACAGAACCACCAGACCCAGTTTATCTGTAAGAACCCAAAGCTTAGGGCAGATTCTGGATCAGTGGTACCGAAGATGGTGGGCCGGTCCAGAGTCCAGCCACCTCCAGGGACGGAGGAGACGCTGAGGAGGCTTTGGAGGCTGCAGGAGTCTCCTTTTCTCTCTGCTCGTCTCCTCCTTCCTCACACAGGTCCGACGTCATCCTCGCCAACTGGTTCTGCCTGAACGAAACATTCAAACCAGTTCTTTAACCACTTTACACTAAACAAACAAACAAACAAACAAACAAACCAAACGGTCCAGCTGAAGAGGGACAGCTCAGGTCCTCTTCAGCTGCTGGTTCTGGCTGCGGAGCAGACAGCAGAACCTTCAGAACCAGCTGCAGTGCCGTCTGCTCCACCTACAGCTGCTCCACGGGGTCAGGTGTGCCGGCGGCGTCTGATTGGTCGCTGCTCGGGGGGTCCCACAGGTGCAGAGCCCGCCTCCACAGGCGCACCTGCATGTCCCAGGAGCGCCGGCTGTACTTCCTGTACTTGTTGGGCGTGGAGGGGTGGAGCTTCAGGTCCCTCAGGTGTCTGAGGACAGACCAGAGACAGGTGCTGTGTCAGGGGGCGGAGCTTACTTCAGGTCAGAACCAGGTGTGGCCGGGCTCAGGTCGTCTCACTTGGGGACCTGCTGCAGGTAGTTCTGGTAGCCGCTGGTGTTCTTGCCGTACTGGATCTGTTTTTGCCGCCTCTTCAGAACCGCCCCATTGGTTTCGGTGTTGGCCGGGTCCGGCAGGCGGGCGTAGCAGCGTCCGTACGAGGACCTGCAGGACACAGACGGGTCCACAGGTGACCACACAGTCCCAACTCACCTCCACCTGCTCCCTACCCTCACTACTGACCAGACAAACAGGGCAACGTGGGACAAGACTGTTCAGATGGTCCAGACCAGGTTAAAAACCCGTTTGGTAAAACTAGTCCAGCCTGGAGCAGGTCAGTCTAGAACTAGCCGTGTGTTCTTGTGTTTGTTGTGGTTCTAGTGAGTTCTAGTGGGTTCTAACGGTGCAGATCAGTATCTCACAGACCTCCTATTGTCCACGTCGTCCGTCCCCACGGCCACACTGCTGGTGGACACTTTCAGGATGCAGCGCTCCAAGATGGACGGCCTGCAGAGACAATACCGGACCGTCAAAGACCGGACAACTTTTTAAACTTCAAGTTTTTTAATGTTTACTGTAAAAATGAACCAAACTCCCAGAAGACAAAGGTTTAGTCCTGATCCAGTCCTTGTGTCCTCAGGGTCTCCTTCTGTGGCCAGGTCCTGGAGGAAACACCAGTCCTCCTTTTCCAAGTCCTCCTGGAGGATCCACGATGGTCCCACACCAGAGTGGAGATATGATCCCTGTGGAGCAGTCCAGTCCAGTCCTGGTCCTGAATGACCAGGATCCAGCTTGTTTTGGCACAGCTGGTTATGGACACGCATCTCTGTTTGCACCGTGTCCACCTGAGGGATCAGACATGAGGGCCCTGGATCCTACTGGAAGGTCCAGATCTACTCCCAGGACCTGAACACCTACAGAAGGAGGACTCAGAACCACCTCAGTAGTACTCCTGACTCTTTCTTTAGACTCAGTTCCAGTCCTTGGACCAGAATTTGTCCACAGAACAGTTCTGAAAACCTTCAGGAAGTCTGGGGGAACGAGGACCAGATCAGGACTTCAGCAGCTGGGGTACCTGCGCGTTTTGCTGCCGGCGGCTCGCTCCCGTCCTCTCAGACCACCGGCAGCAGGAGGAGACGGGACGGGAGACGGGCTGCTGCAGAGACGAGGAGGACAAACGAGACATTTACTTCAGGAGGTCCGGCCTCAGAGACTCAGGATTCTTCCAAACCCTTTGATCAGACAGAAAAACTGGTTTATGGATCCCTGCTGGACCAGGTCAGTCTCTTACCTGACCAGGCTGTCGTAGACGGAGCTGCAGCCGGGGAGGAGCCAAGGTTCGGGGGCGGAGCCTCCCGTGGCAGCAGGCAGCAGGTCGGGGACGCCGGTCCAGACGGCCGTGGACCAGGACTTGGCACACACACAGGACCAGGGACTGAAACAGAAGCTGAGAGGGCAGCTGGGTCAGAGCCGGTCCGAAACAGAACTAAACCCAAGGTTCTGAGCCAGTTTAAAAACTGATTTGGTGAAGGTGGGTCAGAACCAAACGGTGAAAGCTTCCAGAGCTGAGAGCCATCGAGGACATAAAGACCGAAGACGGGCCTGAGGACAAAAGTCCGACCCGGTTCTGCTGGATCCACTTCATGAACTGTGACTAAATGCTTGGACTGAACATTTACCTGTCAGACAAAACTCAGGGCCCACAGCCTGTACTTCAGCTCAAGATGAAACGGTTACTTTCAAATTTAATCTTTTTCTTACAAAATCAATCACGCCAGGTGAGACCAGTTCTGGTCCTGGTTCTTACCTGGAGGACAGCAGCGGGCTCTGGGCTGCAGGTTCAACTCTGCTGGACGACATTTTTGCTCCGAGTTCAGTGCCTTGGATTTAGTCAGACATCAAGCAGCCAGCTGCTTTCAGCACCTTTTAATGAGACACACCTGGCCTGGGGGCGGGGCATACAGCGTCCACAGGGCCTGAGGGCGGGGCCTACAGCATCCACCGGTTCTGAAGGCGGGGCCTACAGCATGCACATGACCCAGGGGCGGGGCCTACATCACATATCCACAGGGTCTGTGGGTGTGGTCTAAAGCAGCCACGACTTCACCTGGGTAATATTTTAAGTTCAGGTTCCTTTTTAATTTGAATATTTTTAAAACTTCATTAGATTTCTGAGCTGTTTGGGTTCACAGAACATGATTTTATCTCCAAAATGCTTCAAATGAAAAACACAAATCCTTATGGAAAAAAGAAGTATAAAAAACATATTTGTACTGAAGTTTCATGAAGTGCAACAAAAGTAGAAAAAAAATAGAATTATATTTTACACTTGCACTTATTAACTTCACAGGACAGTGTCCCAGGTGCTGCTTTCTGAACTTTTACTAAAGTTTCATGTTTTCTGGTCTGAGAAGCTCAGTCCTCACCTCCTTCTCCAGATGTGCAGTGGAGAGCATCCTGTGCTCCAGCATCAACGTGTGGCATGGAGGCTGCACAGCTGCAGAAAGAAAAGCTTTGCAGAGAGTGGTGAAGGCTGCACAGAAGATGTTGGAGTCAGCCTCCCCACCATCACAGACATCTACACCTCCAGATGCAGGAAGAGGGCCACCTGCATCATGAAGGACCACACTCACCCAGCACACACACTTTTTGCCCCACTCCCCTCAGGAAGGAGGTTGAGGAGCATTAAGTGTAGAACCACTAGACTGAGGAACAGCTTCTACCCTGAGGCTGTTAGACTCATGAATCTCTAACTAGAATAATCACTGTGAAAAATCACATCATGTTGCTGCTGATCAGTTTCAATGTTGCTGCTGATCTGTTTCATGTTGCTGCTGATCAGTTTCATGTTGCTGCTGATCTGTTTCATGTTGCTGCTGATCTGTTTCATGTTGATGTGTTCATGCGTGCACATCTGCTCACAGACTCATGTTCATGTTTGTGCTGATGTTCAATGTTTTATGTTATGAGTGCTTAGTGTATATTTAGTTGATGTTTTTCTTAGTTCATATCTTAGATGTTATTACTGTTTTTCTTAGACATTTTATTGTTGGATGTAACTGGGACCCTGTGGACATAATTTCATTCCACCTCATGAGGTGCGAATGATAATCAAGAATCTCTGACTCTGACGTATGAATGGGGTTTCAAACTGTCTGTAAGCAAAACCTGCTACATGATGATTACAAACAAAAAGAAGATAAATATTGGAAATCTCTTATTATATGGACAACCTTTAAAAATGGTTAATGAATTTAAATATCTAGGTATATGGTTAGATAGTTCATACACATGGCAAACACATTTAAAACAGGTGGAAACAAAGTGTAAGAAAGTCCTTAATGTAATGAAGCAGAGGCAGGAATCAACTGGGGAGCAGACAAACAGTCACTTTTAAATATGTGCAGAGCTCTCATGAGATCAACTTTGGACTGTGGATGCATCGTGCATGGAGCAGCAGCAAATACAACTCTCCAGAAACTAGACAGATTCAATCCAGAGCGTTACGGGTGTGCACAGGAGCAATGAAGACGACCCCCATTAATGCTCTTCTTATAGAAACTGGTGAGACTCCGTTAGAAATGAGAAGAACTAAACTTTCATTAACTTACTGGGTGAAACTCACAGGAAGTAAAGAAGCAAATCCTGCAGCAGCAACAATCCAGAACTGCTGGGAATATAACAGATATCACAGAAATGGTTTTGGTTGGAAAATAAACAAACTAGCTGGATTATATGGAATAGGAAATAAAGATTTCGCACAGATTAGTCCAAACAGTGTTAATTCTCCATGGTTGATTCCAGAAAGTAAAGTAGACATGAAAATTCTTGAAATGAAAAGAGAATGGAACAAAAATGAAATGGGGCTGAAAAGCAGCAAATACATTAGAGAGACATATTTTAATTACCTGTAAATATATACAGATGGCTCAAAGAACACAAAGGGGTGGGTGGGAATATGGGTTTATATTCCAGAGTTTGAAGTTTGTACATCTAAAAGGATTTCTGATCATCTCTCAGTGTTCACAGCAGAAACGGTGTCAGTCATATTTAGTCTACAGTGGACGGAGGAGGTTAGACCGGACAGGGTGGTGATATGCACCGACTCAAAGGCTGTCGTAGAAATCATTCAGTCTAAAGGAAACAACAGGAAAGATCTTCTGCTAGAAATACAGCTCGCATTGTTCAGGTGACACAGGGAGGCGTGGACGTTCAGTTGTGTTGGGTGCATGAGGCACACGAGGGGTGGAAGGAAATGAAAGAGCAGATAAACTCGCTAAAAAAGACATTGAAGGGGGAAATAACAGTTAATATTATGTTAGGAAAAGGAGAGGGTAAATCATTAATTAAAGAAAGAGAACTGGCAGAAAACTGGACTGAGGACAAGAAAGGAAGAAGATTATACAAAATACAAAAATCAGTTAGGATAAGTAATTATAAAGAAAGAAGTAGAAGAGAAGAGGTGATAATGAGAATAATGAGGGTTGGACATGCACTTGTAAATGATACAATGTTCATGACGGGGAAAAGGAACAACAGTCGATGTGAAGAATGTGGGAACCAGAACGTGTGGAACATGTTCTGATGGAGTGCATCAAATATCCAGAAGAAAGGAGAGATTGAAAGAAAACGAGGCAGGAGAGTGTGGAGTTTAGGAGGAATATTAGGAACAGAAGGGAAGGATAAAATAAGTGATGTTAGAAAAGACTTGTTTAGTTCTTTACACAACATAAATATTAAAAATAGAATTTAGGGAAAGGAGACCATGAGTTACACACTCTTGCTCAGTAGGTGGCGGAACGCACCTGCACGTTGTTTACAATCCGCCAATTAAACTAAAAGAAGAAGAAGAAATTATTTCATTATGGTTGTGTAATTTATGGATCAGCAGCAAAAACACATTTGGAGAAACTGGACAAAATACAAACCAAGCATTAAGACTAGAGGAGCGTTCAAAACCAGCCCAGCAGCAGCACTTGGAGTAGAAATGGGAGAAATGTCGTTCGCAATGAGACGAGAACAATTAGCAATAAACTACTGGATCAATCTTAAAGGAAATAACCCGGAACACCCAACACTAGAGATTTTAAAACCACGCTGGGAGACGGAGAAGAAAGAGACAAGAAGTTTTGGATGGACAATAGACCAGAAAACAAAAGAAATGCAAATAGACAACTTAGACACCAGCCCAGTAGTACCAGTACCAACAAGACCACCATGGCTTCTTCCAAATGCAACAGTTGACTTGACACTCATGGACAAGAAAAAAGACAGAAGATTTATTTTTAACTCATATACAGTACAGGACTATATCAATAAGTACTATAACTATATACAGATTTATACAGACGCATCAAAAACATCAGGGAAAGTAGGAGTGTCATATTTAAAATACCAGAATTCAACATAGAAGTAAGGAAAAGAATCACAAATGAAGTCTCCGTGTACACAGGGGAGATGTTGGCAGTGCAGTGGGTAGAAGACACAAGACCGTTAAAAACAATCATCTGTTCAGACTCGAGCTCAACACTCATCAGTTTGAAAAATAGTCATTCAGATAGCCGACCGGATATTTTACTAGAACTACAACAAACTTTATTCAGAATACAAATGATGGGACTGACAGTGATGTTTTTATGGACACCAGCACATCTAGGGATCAGAGGGAATGAAGCAGCGGACAGGGCAGCAAAGCAGCAACAAACGATCAAATCAATTTTACAATATCTATCAGTAAATCAGAAGTAAGAACCATAGTGAAACAAAACTAAAGGGAAAATGTCAGAAACAGTGGGAAGAAGAGCACAAAGGAAGATGGTACTACAGAATTCAGAGACAAGTGGGAGAAACGAGAACAGGAGGAGGAACAGCAGAGAAGAAGACTAATAACCAGAGTAAGATTTGGACATACAGGACTTAACAGCTCACTACACAAGATTCAGAAACATGATACAGGACAATGTGAGCTCTGTGGACAGGAGGAAACAACAGAACATGTCGTTTTGGTCTGTCAGAAATATGAACATCACAGAAGGCGTATCATAGAACAATTAGGAAAAATCAAAGAAACATTTAGTATAATAAATATATTGCAAAAGGAAATAAGAAGTAAAAGTATTCAAATCATTATACATTTTTTCAAAAACACAAAATTAGATAAGAGAAAATAAACATACAGACATAGCCAGTTTGATCCACACTCCACACCAGTAGGTGGCGGTAATGCACACCTTCTGTTGTTTGCCAACCGCCATAAAATCCCATGAAGAAGAAGATTTTTTTTTTTTTGTTGTTGATTTTTTACAAAACTTTATTTGCACAATAAGTTAATAAAACAGTGTTAAAAACATGATCATGTTAAGGTTTTGTATTTTTTAACAGTGTTCACATGAGGAGGTTGTTGTATTTTAGTTCTCCTTTGTCAGAAACTGTACATAAAACCTTTTTAAAGCCTCACAGTTCCACAAACTTGTTCAAGTCTCCCGTGTCTCTGTGGAAGCAAAACTCCAACGCCAGTCTGGCCTTGATGTTGCACTTCCACAGAGACACGGCGTCAAGTTGAGGTCCAGCCTGCAGTCTGTCTCTGCGAGATAAATACATCGCCATTTTGGCTTCGGCAATTAAAAAGTTTAAAATTCTGGATTTACACTTAGTGGCTTTGCTGTAATATACACAATTAATAAAAACAGATTTGGTAAAAACGGGATCAAAAAAGCTAAAAATCCTCGTCATTAAGTTAAAAAGAGCAGTCAGTCGTACACAATCCATAAAAACATGAAAAACACTCGGACAAACTGCAAAAAGGACACTCGTTTAAAACCTCAGGACTGATGATCGAAAGGAAAGAGTTCGTTGCGATGGCGCCGTGAAGGATCCTCCATTGGAGATCACCAG